ATGCCAACGCCGCCGCCCGCCATAACCGTCCGACGGCTACCGCAGCCGCTGCTGTTCTTCTTTCTTTTGCGTCTGCACGGCTTTTTCTCTTTCTCTCTTTCTCTTTCTTTCTCTCGTGCAGTAGCCTTAATCCCAGGGTGTGCAACGTTATTTCTTTTTGCTGATTTGATCAAGCCTTAGAGTATGCGTGCACTAGGGTTCAGCTTCTTTCCCGGCCTATTATTAGAGGCGCTGCTGCTTGTTTTAGCTGGCACTTACGAACTGTCGTACGTGCGCGGCTTTCCAAGATGCCGCTTTCGCAAAGGTAACTTTATCGCGAGCTCTGCTGCCGCGCGTCTGCCACTGCCGATTGAATTCAGTTCAAGTGAATTTTTCAGGGTCGCTTTGAAATAGCCGACGCTTTTGATTGCACGGATTCGTTTTTCGGGCATCTGTTTGCTTTTATTTGCCAAGCAATCAAAGATGTTTTTTAACTCTCGGTAATCTGTAAATCTATTAATTGGCTATAAAATGCATTCGAATAGCAGATTCGACGTTGAGAACAAAATAATCGATCTCATTAGATAAAATTATACATTAAAATTGTTCCTTGTAGTAGAAGTAGAAGATGTACTTTTACTTTACAGACACGTTACAGGCGTTTCGTTTACTCAATTCTGTATTTTCTAAAAATAGAATCCTCCATACAGTCAGACGAAATTGTCGTAAAGCGACACGTAATAAAGTTAGTGTGTGTATACAAAAGAAGAGGCGTTTAACCAGCATGTCGGTGCAGGTGATCACTCGTGCGCAGACGAACAAGGCAGCTAGACATAGCATTCTTTCGTGGTAAATTTTTCACTTTTTCTCCGCGCATCCCCGCGCGCGCGCGCGCGCCTTTTAATTGCGGCACACTGCGTCGGACGTACACACGGGCATTGGGCGTGTACCGCATACTTGTGCCCCGCGCGGAGCTTCGACTGCCGCTTATTACTCGGTTATTTTATTGCCTCCGCGTGACACGCGCGCGCACTCGAGGAATATTCAATGCGTACGCCGTACGGGCGATCGGCAGCACGAGATTCTTTTCGCGGAGAGGTCCGCCGCCGACGCCGCCGCGCGATTGTTTCTCGCCGAGAGATAAGCGGACCGGAAAATTTGCTGCAAGCTCCCTCGCTCGCCCGCGGGGAGGGGGAGAATTTATTAGCCGCACTCACGCACGCGCGAGCGTTGGCCTTTTATTTCTTCACGTTGGTCGCTCGTATCTTCGCGCGCGATCTAGCAAAAATTAAGTGATCTACGGTCTTCGCGGCGCGCGCACGTTGCTTTTCACGCTTGCACCTTGCGCGCCCATTTTTTAGCGTCGAGCGCTGTCAACCGAGCGTTCGCTTATTACGGAACGAGAGAAGCTGCATTAATAAAACCAAATTGGAAGACTTGGCTTGCCCACCAGTCGTCAATTATCCCGCCGAGTCATATTATGTATAGCAGTGATCGGATGACATTACACGCGAGAGCGCAGACTACTGATGATTGCTAGGCTTGTTAATTGATTCCCCCTGGACAGGTGAACTCGCGCGTCGTCTCCGCGCCGACGGAAATGAAAATCATGCTATCCACTTCAATGCGAAAGCCATTTTAGCAAATCATTCGCAGACGTCTGCAACGATCATTTTCATCCTTGTGAGATCGAATTTCAAATCCAGCCGACGCAATGAAAATTGACGCGTGTACGAAATGTTTACACGCGTGAAAGTTTGGGCTATGGTCACACAACCGGAATCTCGTCGATGCTGCACGTTGCGATCTGCCCTCGCGATACGACGTATAAAGCGGCGGGTGTCGCATGCGCTTGCCCCTCATTACACGCAGCCACGGTCACGCGTCGACGAACAATGGCCACACTCCATTCGGTCGAGCACGCCCACGCGGCCGACAGCCTCTTTTGTCGCTCGATCTGCTATTATTTCAATTTACCGTGGTCCTTCAGACATATATAATTGCGCTTTTTTTTTTTCTTTTCCTCTCTCCTTCCATTCGATTCCAATTGCCGAGTTATTAACAAGAATTCTTACATCCAATCTACCTATACCGTCAATTGATACGTTGCGTAGTATTGACAGCATGTATTAAACATGTTGCGATCGAAAAATATATCGCTTCGTTTCTTTCGGTTGCATTCAAGGTTTAATGCACAAGCTTTTGTTATCACATTTAATCCTAAATTGGACAGGATCCTATTTTTAATGCGTGTTTTTTATATACGATGATACAGGAGTAGTATACGTAAGATATAACAATACATCAAAGTTGTAATATTCGGCATATTAAATGAAAAAAAAAAGAAGAATCGATTGATGAGTTTCGGAGTTGGATGGAGCGGCGACGCTCGAACCGCCGCCGCGCCACTGCCGTAGCTTAATTTCTCTCATCCTCCTTCCTTTCGCTCGTTCGCCCGGGAGACGTGCAATTTGTCAGGCTTGGAATCCGAAAAATCTGCAGGAGGCGGCTATTACGTAAGTGGACCGATGAGTTTCGGAGTCTGTCGAGTGATTACTTGCGCGCGCTCACGAACGAAAGACGAGAGTGAAAAAGAGAGCGCAAAAAGAAATGAGAGTGACGGGGAGGCTACACATTCTTTATACATACGGCAAGACGATATGCTCTCGCAGGCAGCTGTGGCGAACTTCATATGCCAAGATAGCAGCTGTCATATGATGCTAATTACCCTTTTAAACGCTGTACTAATTAATTTATCTTCCAAAATCCTTATAAATGATAAGCTTTGGCAAGCAAATCGAAAAAGAACACTCGCATCGAGAAACCATCGGCAGGCGAAAGATTAATTTGCAAAAGTTTGGCGCGGCTAAAAAAGGAGAGAAAAAAGAGGAGGAAAGCCATGGGAGACGGAAGAAACGAGAGTACGCGGGGCCGACGGGGCTGCACGCACGTACGCGAATGGAAAAGGCGCGCGGTAGTAGTCGGTGGCAGGTCCGGATGAATAATGGATTCGAACGCGCAGCCATGCCACGACTATATACACGGCGCGGTGGCGCGGCGGCGGCGGCGGCGGCGGCGGCAGTCGCTTGAATATTCATAATACACGCGGCCCTCTCGCTCTCCCTCGCCATTGGCGAGCATTACGCGTGTATGGGTGAGCAACGCTGCGTTTTTGCGAGTGGGAGAGTGCCTCTACCTACATAGATATACGGACACACGTTGGCGCGGGACATTCCGCGATGGGGGAGCTTGGCGTACGAGAGGAGCTGCTGTCTGCGCGCTTCTATCTCTCCTATATGTATATTATGCTTTCACGTGTATTTGATGAGGCGTAGATTGGGAATCCGAATTCCCGTAAAATTACATTCGTCAATTACAACTCGTGATAATCATATTACGGAAAAAATTATGGTTATTATTGAACGTTGCAATTTCATAATTCTTATTGTTTGCCAACTCACACGGCTGCAAAAACTGAAACCTAGTTGTTCCCCTCGCAATGCGAGATATTACAATGTAATTATTCATTTTCTTCAATCCACAATGACTATTCAGTCGCAAGTTCTACTGAAAGTACTACCTTGCACAAAACAATGCTGTTTCAAAGTTTCACGGGGAACCAAACCCACTAACTTCTCACAATTATGTCAGACCTATAATTACATAATTATCTCGTGAATACGAATCTGACAAGTGGTTCAATAAACTTGCTTTACACAAGATACAATTCAAGATACAAAAGTCTGCACGTGCCTCACAGATTATGAAACGATTCGTCATTAACATGCGATTATTAACGAGAAAGCTCGTCTAAGTCTACATTTGATTGACTAGATTCTGGTGAAAAATGCGCACGATAAGTGTATTTTATTTGGCTTATAGCAACTGAGACGAAAAGTCTGCTCGCAGGAAAGGCACCTGCGTAATAGGTAGTCGAACGTCGTTGGATTTCAAAATACAGTTTGCATTTTTCATAGGTATATAGCAACGGATTATCGGAAACGTACATGAACTTTACAATTTTACTTCTTTTATAATCAATAGAGCATTGTATAGACGATGCAATTTCTTGTCACTCACGGTTTTTATTTACACCAAATTTCTGAAGAAGGCTGCTTTCCGTCTAAAATGTATTAGATTTAAAATCAGTATTTTCCGTACATGTTATAAAAGATATATATATATATATATAAACTGTTCTATCAAATTTATATAATTTTTATAAGATTTTTATATAATAGTTTCTAAATAAAAATTTATAAAATTATAAAGTATATATAGTGAATCTATGAAAATAGTATGCCTCCGCATATTAAGTAGTAATACCACAAAACTGTCAGACAAATATCGTTACAAAAAAAAGTACTTTTTGTATTTCGGAACGGTATTTTCAATGCAATACAAATCGTACGGAAAGAGATGAAAATCAATCTAGTTTTGATGCATCACCAATCGGTGTACACGAGGGAAACGCAAGAGACGAAGTCGCGTTAGCCGCTCGACTGATCGCGCGCACACGCGTACGCCAAGTATTCTTATCGTATTCTCGATGAAATTTTCAAGATTCAAGCTTGTGGCAAGCTCGACGGTGCGATTGGAATTTGCAATACATACGTTCGGAAGCCGCACATATTGCGCACGGAGTTTTCCGTTACACTTGCGGGGCGACGCGTCGCGGTGAAACACGCGCTTCTATGGGTTGTGCGTATTGGTCTTGGCTCTTACTTTCCTCGGGATAGAATTTTTCATCGTGCACCCTCTTAGACTCTCGTCGTGGTGTGCTCTTTTTTTCGTTTTGGAATATACGCGCGACGATACAGGTTTTGAAGAATGAGACAGGCTGTTGCACGCGTATTCAAACACAAGTTATATAGGCCACAGCAATTTCATTGGAATAAATATGTAGAGCAATAATTTTTCCAAGTTTTAATCAAAGAAATTTGAATGTAAATCAATTGCAATTTTTCATTTCTGGCACCTGCTCGATCACTAACTATGTGTTTTGTTTTGTTCTAGGTAAGTTGTGACTGGATTATCGATTTTTGTGAATCGACATTTCTGGGATAAAACCCAAAGATGACGTTTCGTTGCGTGCCGGCTTTTCAAAATCCTGATTGCAGTGCACCATGGGTGAGTCATTTTTTATCAGTGTTTCACGCGAGACGCAAAGAAACACATCGAAATTAAAAGTATGAAGCGAATACCACCCTTTTTTAATATACTAATATCAAATTTAGAGCTCCATGTTCATAACATTTATAGTCGCGCAACGTCTATCTGCAACGCGAAATTCACTATTTACGTAGTTATATAAAAAAAAGATACCGACGTTACTAACGGATAACCCTCAAGTTTTCTCAGCAAAGAAAAGCCTACCTTTTTCGTAATTCAAGCATGGCGTTATTACTTTGTTCCTCTCTTAGGCCGCCCCACTCCATTGCTTCCTGTGCCTCTCATTCTCTTTCTCTCTCTCTCTCTCTCTCACTCACTCTCCGACCGGGTAAATAAGTCTGCTTGCAGTTTGTTTACCCGTCCTCGCTCAGTTTATAATGGAGATTATCTTATTTGTGCTGGTACTTGGAGAGCATCTTTAGTTATACTGTCGAGCTTTTCCTGCGTCCATGGAAAGCGAAAGTAAATCATTTTTAGAGTACATCGACTAAAATATAAATTTTGAAAATGATTGGATTTCGACATTGAAAGGACTAAAATATTCATGAGTTATAATTCTTTTTAAAAAGATTAATTGAATAAGTGCCTCACCTCTAACTTTTCTCAACTTTCAGTCCGTTTAGTTTGAGTATTTCTGATTTATACGCGTGAAAAAGTTAAGTAATTTTTCATATCATTTATCACTCGGGAAAATTATGTTTTTCGATAAAAGCTGAAAACTTATCAAAACACTACGTCTTAATTTTTTTATTACTCTACTGCTTTTCATTGGAATATTTTTTGGAAAAAGAATTATCAGGACGATAAATAATCTTGACTGAATATAAAAACAAGCGCGGGCATATCTATACATTAGATATCGAGCCCATAGTGAAAATTATACTTCACATCAATAATCACGAGGGAATGAAGATGCGCGCACATAGATATATAGTATAGTTCCAAGGGACTGAAAATTACGCAGCGACTTGCCAACGAACACTCCACCCACAAGGGACGCGCCGTGCGCGTTGTAAGGACAATAGGCAAGCGCCGGCAGCGAGCGCGCGTTTATTAATCGTCGACTGTCAGCCCGAGGTCCTGTGTTATTAGTGCATTAGACGTTGCGCTGCCCGCCCTAGACGTGCCATAGTATAGATATTACCATGCGAACCGCGTGCGGCATCCAATCGAACGATGCGTCGCAAGATATCCTCACTGCGCGATCACTTGAAAAATTAACCGCCCTACTGATCGCCGTGAGCTTTTATAGCTTTGCATTTGCCAAGTGAATATTCATTTTTCCAAACGACCGTCGTTTTATTAACTAATTTTATTTTGCACCGAGCTGACAATTACGTTACCGTCTTGAAATACCATTGGCGTGGATCGCTCCGCAGAGATCTGAATAGAGAGTCGGATAAAATCTCGTTGTTAGCTTTGACGCAGACTAACGATAACACTAGTCTTTTTTTAAATGAAAAGGTTTAAATACTCAACGGCACTATTTTGCCAAGTTGTAATTTATTTAAGTATATTTAAGAGTATAGCTGGAGAGACGAGCGCGCTACAAGTGCAGAAAGAATGAGAAGAAAGATGGCAGCCGAAGCCCTGCAGGTAGCAAAAGTCTAAAGTGGACATTGGCTATATATAGCTCTTTTGTTTTCCAAGTCGGAGGGAGAAGGAAAGAGGGCGCGGACGAGAGGAGGGCGATATATATGGAGAGATAGAAGAGAGTGCGAAATGTGATAAATGCGAGTGGTATACCTCCGGGGCCCTTTTGTTCGCCCAATGACACGCGCGCGCGCTTGCAGCAGTAATTACTGTTATCGGGGCACAATCGCTCTTACCTGTTGCACACACACACACACACACACACACACACACACACACACACACACACACACACACACACACACACAACGTTGCCATCCATCAGCTTAGCCACGGCCGCGGTTGATTCTCTTCCGCACACGTGCGATTCCGACGGACCGAACCTCGTTCCAATTGTCATGCACGCGGGCGCGCGCATTCTTTGCGACGCTCTCAAGTCCAGCCAGCCGAAGCTCTGCGCGAACCGTATACGCTTTTCTTCGTACGCGCGCATAAGTCAGTCCGCGGACGTAGTAACTCCCCCGGAAGGCGGCCAATTCTTGACAGGGCTCACCCAATATTTAGCGCTTCTAATGCGTCCGTCGTATAATTATAATTAGAAGGTTACGCCCCGTTCACCGCCCTACCGAACGATCCCTCTGCTCTCTGCCATCTTGCGACGTAGGCGCGACAAATTGTGGAATTTTATGTTTTAATGTTTTCATTGTCGCGCCAATTCTTTTAACCAAAGTCGACAAACTTGAAAATTGTTCCTCAGCATTCGTATATCGAATGAATATTGAAATATCGAAAGACGCTAATCGTAAAAGTATATATATATTTTTTTCTTCAGCGACCGCTACGGCACAAAATCCAAAGTCACTGTGTCAAAGGAACCCACTAATACGCATCTTTGTGATTTTATGCTTACGTGCACCTTCCCTCTCGCGCGTCCGGAATTTATGGTCGACGCGCCCGCGAGTCACTCGGAGGCGGATCGTCGCTCGGAGCTTGCGCGCTCGTGCGCAGCCCCTCGCATGTCCTTCCCGGTAGCCCAAAACAAGAAAATAAAGGCGTACTCCTGCTCGCCTTGCCAAAAGTATATTATCGCCTATATATTTTCTTCCCGGTGACTTTTTATCGATGCCGTGTCACTCTGTGCACGGGCGTGCAAAGCCGCAACCGTATTTCTATGTAATTATTTCCCCTTGTTGTTACACCCCGTTGACGGCAAAAATTATAGAGGGTTTTTTTTAGATGCTCTTTTCGTTTTTTTTTTCTATGGCGACCCGCATGTTACATTTTCGAGAGATTTATAAGCGTATAATTCACCCTGAGAATATAACACGCGGTCAAACTTCCGTGACCTTACATTTATTATTAAAAAAGTTTTTATGCGCAAAAATATATTCGATCAGTTGCATTACCTTCGGTAAAAACGCATTTCAGAACTGAAGTATCAAAAAAAAATGATTAAAATAGTTTGAAAATTGTCGGAATGAAAATTACTAGTTAGGCTCGTGTGCGCAAAATACGCGCACGCGCGTAAAAAAAAAGAACAATAAAGAAATACAAGTTTGCACGCGCGCTGAATTCGCTCGGGATGCCTTTCCTGAAATATTCGTCGAAAATGATTCTCGCGGGGCAACAATCATCCTCCTGCACGCGTGCTGCTGCAGCTCTAAATCGAACAAGCCGCAAAACGTAGGCGCGTAAGCTCGTCGCTCGTGTAAAAAAGTGCAGCCGTGTGTAGCCGCAAAGACCCAAAATTGTCGGAATAGCGCGGAGAGAGAGAGAGAGAGAGAGAGAGGTTTTTCGAAAGATCTGCCAGAGGCGCCGTTCGTGCGCGCGCTCGTGGCGATATTCGCGTGCCGATATTCCGGCGGTGGCGATGCAATGGCACATGCTGCATCACGCATACGCGATTTGCGCATTCCCTTCGTCTCTTTGTTACTTGGCTCGACCAATCGTTGCAAGACTCGCGGTAGTGGGGGAAGAAGGAGGCCCCCGCGGGGCAATTTGCCGTACAACGTGGTGGGGAGAGCGTTGCGCGTGGCCCTGGGGCCTGTCAAAGGTCGCCTGTCCCGAAGCTCTTTTTGTATTACGAAGGTCCGGCGATCAGCGCCATTAATGCTGATGCCGGTTTCCCTTTCTATTTTTTGTTTGCCATGCGTCTGCGTGTGTCTCAAGCTTTAGTACTTTTCATGTTTTATTGTATCGTTTTGGATGCTTGTCGTTGCGGCTGCGCATAAAAAAAGGGGCAAGTGAAGGAGAGCACTGTAATTTTGAGAGTTCGCGTGCAAGCCGAGTACTTAGAGCGTTTAGTGCAAGAGTCGAAGGTGAATTCTCGCACTTCAAGTCCTGTCTTAATGATTGAATGATTATAGATTTTAAAAGTAAAGTACCGGTTATAGCTTTCGTTATTGCTATCTTATGGCTTCAAGTAAAGCTTTTTATGACTCTGTAAAAATGAATTTCTTTATTTTTTTCTAAATGACATATGCCCGACGGTCGTTATTGAAACATAAAAAATATCACGGAAAACACTTTTTACTCCATATTTTTTTACTCAAACGGTTAAATTTTGATGTCACTTCACCCAAAGCCATTTTTTATATTTACGTTTTGTGGCAGTGCGTATAAATTACGGAGCTCTCGGGCAATGTTCAAGTCATTATTTTTAATACAAAGCTACATCTGTACCAAAGACAAAATATCAATACCTACCAAAATAATATTCTTTCAAGAAGAGAAAGTAGTACGCTATATACGTGTAAAACTACAATCATACAAGCTTGTAACTTGCAATCTAAGTCTAATATTTACGATAATTCCTGCAAGTATGAAGATTAACGTTGAAAATACTTCTATATTGAATAAATCTTGCTAGTTTGAAACTTTTATAAATTTTAATCTGACATTTTGAAATCCTCTCAATTAAACAATGTAATTTCGTCTACAAGGAAATATATTTTTGTTTTGGCTTTTGAACATTGGGCATTGCATTTGCGCGGTAGATAATACAAGTTCGGATGGTAAGACAAGATCCCTACAGGGCCATTTCAGTGCAGCCGGAATCGACTACCAGAAGGTAAGGTCGTTATTACAGTAAACTGTGTTGGTAATGAAGGTTTCTGTAGGCTTCATGCAAGCTTACGTGAAACATCAGCTGCGCCGAAGTTGCATCAAACCACAGCTAGATGGATCTGCAATCCAGATGAATTCAAAATGTTAAACACGACCTTATATTGTAAAAGTTCTGCCAATACTAGTAAAATCATACTATACTATTCAAAATGTGAAAAAGGCTATTAACAGATAGCAAACTTTGCATTTTTTCGTAATACATTAGATTTAAAAGTAATTGTTCACCTGTTTTTATTTAT